TATAAGTGTCTTGCAGCCACAAATTTTCACCTCCCCACATTTGATCTGATAACCTTTAAAGGCAGCTGTGTAATAAAATTGTCTGACATTACGACATTCCATTTCAATGCAGTCTGGTAAGCTCTAAACATTTATGTGAAATTAGATTTTGTTAATTTAATTCCTGCACTCAGTTTACTAAATAACTGCGGCTTTTAATCATAATCAATGATATCTGCAAAATTGACGCTTTTTGTGGTTGTATCTTCTGAATTAACTGTCATTGAAGGGGTCGCATTGGCGATTGACTGCCTTTCATAACCAATTCACAAATACGATCGAATTTGGGCAGTTAATCAAGTGAATTGCATCATTCCAGTTATAATTGGATGTTTCCCGAAGTATGAAACAATGCTTTTGAATTGTTCGAGAGATCATTAATTTCTCAAACGCAACGAGTATCAACTATTCAAATACTCAATTTCTAGATACTCAAAACACTGTAAAATACAAGGGTGGTCAAACCATTTTCCCAACTCCTGTTAGTATATGCCATGCTAATTCATATTTATGGGGCTCTTGAAATGAAATGAATTACCTTTGAAGACAGAAGACTATTGAACTTAACTCAGTCTTTGTTAAATTCTGACTTCCATATTCAAATTCTGTGCCAATATTACCGCCTGCGCACATGCACACGCACTCTAATAAAGATCACAGGCTAGTGTAAATTCAAATTTATTTTGAGTGCATGTGATCAGGAAAGATGAACACAATTGGGGGGGGGGGGGGGTTTCATGATCCGGCAACTTAATTTTTTCACCCAGACTGGTTTCTGGAAGTTTCTGGTTTCAAAAAAACTGTGCCGAAATGCATACATCATTTGCAACTCGGCTCATTTTTCATACAACTCTCAATTTTACTGAAGTACCATTTGAGCTTTATTTAATCTAAATTATAATTATAAAGATTAATAAACTTTTCCCATATGCTGACGATTCTGAGAATTATATAATCCAAAATGTTGGCTTCTGTTGTGGAAGAATTTTAAATAAAATTGTATGTAAGTTCACATAGATTATCTTCAGAAATTGTTGAAAAAATTAGAGAGAATGTATTTTGTTACTATTGTTAGAAGAAACTCTCTTTTAACCTATCATCATTAGACTGATTTACTAGATGTGTATATTGATGGTATCAATTTTTACTCCCAAGGGGTAAGTACATTTAAAGCTCTTATTCCTCACTAATTTTGAAAATTGAAAAAGTAAAATACTGATAACTGATTGGCTGAAAAGGTAAATAGAAGAGAGGAGTAAAAATGGTCAATTTATTAAAAGAATCCTTTTTCAATGGTTACCTTAATTCCTCACAGGGATTTCAGAGATTAAAATCGGCAAATTTTATTGACTTATGAAGAATATTGGAAAAGGGGTGATGTTAGTTAATTGCCTTCATCGGATATTTATTTATTTATATCAAATGGCAAGCGTTTTGATGGCTATCATTAGCCCTTTAGTTGACTTCGGGCTTCACAAAGGGAACGGAATATCAAAGTGAGAAAAATTCGAGAGGGGGAGCAGAAGAGAGATTTAAAGATGTAAAAGAGACAGAAACAAAGGTAGAAAAAGGTGAGGTGAGTGCTGTGGAATTAGTCGAATATGGAATACAGTGGGGTGATGGTAGTTTGAAGTCAGAAGTCAACTACCTTCTTCGGATATAGAAGCCGGTGTAAAATGCCCAAAAATTTCCAATTTTATTGTATTTATTTCGATTTTATCTAAAGAAATACATTCACCCTATTTCCTAGGAAAAATTTTTGGAGAACTATTTGAATAAACAAATAACGAATTTATGATTTAACAAAAAGGGGTGTTGATAGACTTACCTCCACGTGGTGCACCCTGGGCAACGTATTCTCATACGGCAAAAAGTCTAAAAATCGGCAGTTGACTTCTGACTTCAAACTACCATGACCTGACTCTATGCCATATTCGACCACTTTCACCGTACTCATTTTACCTTATCTCTACCTTTGTGTCTGTCCGTCTCCTTTACATCTGTGAATCACTCTTCTTTTCCCCCATCTCAACTTTTTCACACTTCGATGTTTCTCCCCTCTGTAAAACTCGAAGTCAACTAGAGGGCTATTGAATGACTATCAAAACACCTGCCATTTGATTTAAATAATTTAAAATACTAAAATTTACTTTCTGCTCCCACTATCCATAAGCCTGTGAAGTCATCTCAGAAACAACCGCTAAAACGTAAACCAATCCAATTGCCTAGTGGAAGTTAATTACTCCTTTGTGGTGTTTGCCCAAGTTACTGGTATAAAGGACTTTGAGTCCACTTTCGAGTAACGAATTTTAAATTGGAACAAATTATAAAAGTAGACATATTAAGAATTTTCAATATATCGTTTAAGTTGCTTGCGGATTACTTCATTGCTCTGAATTTAGAGAACGATTAAAAAGCCCATTTTAAAATAGCGTTCCCGATTTACTCACCTCATCAATTCTAAACTACATGTGTGACACCTTGGAAACAATTGGAAGAACAATTAATAAATTAGAACGTCGGGAATGCTTAGAAAAAAGACTTTGAAGGAAAGACCACTCTTACTTGGTCCATAAAAGTTCATATGTATATTTAGAACATTTAATTTTAATATATGCCATAAAAATTTATATTCAAGCAGAGAATAAAGTAGTGTGATAATTGTGTTGCAAAAACGCGCAAAAACTTTATGATTTCACGCGAACTTCTATCTCGTTATCGATTAATCAATAATATGTCAAGTGGACTCGAAGTTCACTATGTTAAAACAAGCTCGAACAAAGCTACATAATTTACACATTTCGGCCTTTGGAAATCATTCTTACCACGGTTAGATTAAATCAGTCCAAAAAATAGGGATCTATAGTGCCGGAGTAGAAATCTAGGTTTAGACAATAATAACAAAGTTAAAGTCTCAAAAAACCATTCTCTATGCGGGAATCTTAATGTACTTTCCCTTTTAATTCATCGTTTTATAGCACAGTGTCTCTTACCCATTTAGGTTAGGCATATCGATAACGGCTATTGCGTCTTTTTAAACGGTATTGAAATCGTTTTTAATATGATAATCATAAGCATGAGAAACTGAAAGCCAAATTAACAATTTTGCCTCTTAATGGCAGAGGTAATGTGAATAGATTACAGGAATATGAACTTAAAAGTACAAATGGGTAAGTACACTTGAAAGAGAGATACTAAATTTTGTGAACTCCGAGCATGGGTTTAGAGATCATGCTGGTTTGATATGGTAACTGAATGTGATAATAGTGTCCTTTCATAGAACTCGTGAATATATCGGCGAAAAACGAAAATGGGAGATCAATAAAGGTTGATAAACCAAACATCCGCAAGACCTTTTGTTTGTGCCTTCAAAAAGGTGGGAATAAATGGCACAAGCGCCAAATCCAATTATCAATTTCAACTATAAAGCGTGAGATTTAGTATCGTGTTTGCGCCTTTCTAAAAATCGATAAATCTACTAGAACACCTATTTTAAACTGCACATATACGGCAATTTCTAACGGTCTTATTAAACAAGGTCTGACAGGCTACTACTTGCAAAAGGTATTCCCTCGCCTTTCCTTCGACGAATTAAACTGCAGAAGTGAAGGTCGACTGTGATATAACTGGCAATTTGGCGATACGTTCCTTATTTTGAACCAAACAAAGATGCAGAAAACAAGTTGTATTGATTTTGAATGTATGCATATATGCATATATTCATACATGTATATTTATTTGTCTATTTGCGTACACGCTGTACGCAAATAAAATGGTAATGAGGAAGAATTGTGCAATATACAAATAATAGTAGGTACGTGTGGAAATGAGTGATGAGATGAGAAAATGTGAGGGAGGCATAGGAAAGGGTGGAAGGAATTGACAACACCCAATTGACGAAATCAACACCCTCCATCCAATGAGAGTTGAGAAGATGGGAAATTGGATAAATGCACGAAATTTCGGTGGAAAGAAAGGAGAGAAACACAAGTATTAGGCCTATAACATGTATTAATAGTATGTGTGCGCTTTGCATGAGGAAATAGGAATGAAGACTTTATACAATGATCGATCGCACCTATGGGTAGTAGTAATCGAAAGTCATATTTTGAGGGAGGGAGCAGAATTATTATCACTAGAAGGCCTTCAGAGGCTAGCAAAAGAAAGTTCCACCTAAATTTGACACACATGGTTTGGTGGTCGAAAAAACGAAGGAAAACACACAGAGGTAGGGGGGGGGGGCAGAAACGTAGAAGTATAGTTGTGAGGAGTTGAAAGAACGTGTGTATAAAATGAATATTGCTAGAAAGAAACGAATATATATATATATATATATATATATATATAGGTGCGTTTCCGGCCGGGATTGAGATAAAGACACACAAAAAATGGATAGTGAGATAGAGGCTATGATACAAGCGGAGTGGTAAAGACTGTTACATTTCGGTTGCTAACGCCAGCGCCTAGCTGCAGATATTTCCTTCGCTTGTGCCACGTTTGATCTACAGAAACGGAGATACAAAAGTGCTTAGTTAGATTATTCTGCACGATTTATTTATTCAGTGTCGACATGTACAAATTTGCAATGCGTTTTCTGGTGAGCGTGCCTGGCAACAAACACAATGTATAAATGCCAAGCCAATGGAAAGTAATATCATAGACGCTATATTTTTTCCCCGTAATTTGCTGGGATTTGAGAACCAACATGGCCCCAAGTAGGGTGAATCGTTCATCTCTTGAAAGGTAATAATAATTTTTTATTATTATCAAATTATAATAAAATTACACTTAATGCACTTATTAGGGGGATTGTCGGGAAATGCTATGGAACACTTTTAATAACGATTTTGAGCTGGCAAATATTCAAAGAATGCGGCTCAAATTCAGCGGACTATTACACTTCTCAAACTTTAGTTAGTAGACATTTTGCATGCTTTTTTGCGTATAAACGAATTTTCAACTTACGTAACAAGTGCTCGATAGTTGGCCGCGTTTTTGTTGAGTATTAGCTTGGCACTTCGGGGATCTCGATGATGGTACTCCTGAAGCGTGTCCCAAAGTATACCTATGAAGATAAAAGTAGAGATTAGACTATTATTTCATAAAGTCCAAAAGCAGTCTAATTTAGACCAGTTCTGTCTTTATATTTTCACAATTTGTTGAAACGGATAAATTTCAAAGAACTTTTTCTTAAGCATTTTGCTCATGTTTATGGAATTTTCCTCAACTACTTTAAAGGTAAAACAAAGTTGTGACGAGATAAATTCAAATTTACCGCATTCGGAAAGTTAAATGCCCTTCTTTTCGTCACAAAAAATGAATTCCCAAGAACCTTAACAGAGGCATTACGTAACCATGGTGACTAAGCCATCGTGAAGGAGTAGCCTTCAGATAACGCCTTTCCGTTAACTTACAGGGCACCGCCTATAGAATTTGCCCCGCGATTGACTGTAAATGATATAGCATGCTCAATTGAAAAATTGAAGACTCCATGCACCGTCTAAAAATATTAGAGCTTCTCATGGATTTCAGGATGGCCCCCACCTATCCATCAATGAATTTATAAATTATTATACTCATTTATGTGTTGCTTACGTTTAGCATCGGAGAGCCGTTTGAAGTGAGAATCGAGATCAAGTGGAAGCAAGAAGTTAGCGGCGGGGTCAAGATCACGGCAGAACTTCCGGCGAGTAAGAACACCGGTTCCAGGTCGTTGTGGCTGAATACCCTTGCCGGGTGTATCAGCAGGAGATGAGGCGGTGGAAGTTGATGAAATCGAACTTGTTGGTGTTGCAGGTGCGGATGACAAGGAGCCATTATCACTAACTCCTCCCGGACTACTTAAACCTCCTGACTGGGTCATCGGAACGTCATGACAGCAAGTGCACATGCAAGAATGATATCGTAATCGAGCCTCCTCCAGATATGAATGATTCAATGCCTCTTCAGCTGTTATTCGAGATTTCTAAAAGGACAAGAAGATTGATATTCCAAGTGCTACCGTATCGATCATTTCAAACAGTCTTGGATGAGAATAATATCTGTTTGTTTCAAATGAAAAGCTTGCTAACCTCTAGAAATGTTAAAATAGTCATAATGATGCTAGACAAAACTGTTTGACGAAATTTCTAAATATTTTTCAATCAGTCTAAGAGGATTAAGGTTTCTTAACATATTTCATCTCCAGCACAGCCATTAACATCTCAAACAGTTATTGACTCATAGACATCCATTTGCTAAGTGTTTACGTAGCACTAAATTCACCCATCCTATTAATTTATTAATTGGTTTTGAATAATAAAATGTCCATGCTTATTGATTTAAAAATCTTATCAGTACAAATTTCAAGCAGACAGAAGAGGGCTAATAAAGCTATCATATGTTGATATAGCCAGAAGTGCGGGTGAGTTATGACTGAGAAAAAAAGGCAGGCTAAAAATAGACCGGCAAAGTAGAGAGCGACTGTCCTATGCCCGTACGTGACGGGGGTACAGAAGCAAAGGGGACAACAAGGTCGTAAGTCGTGCACGAAACGCACTAGCTCTAGCTCGTGCACGACTCCGACCAAAAGTAAGGACGAGAGCGCACGGACGCACCACGGCACATGCGAATACGCAGGACCGAAAGAATTAGTGCTACGGCAGCGCAAGAAGCAGAATTCCCAGGGTACCGATAAAGGCAACGCAAAGACGAAGGATGGAAAGACAGACAGACCAACATACTTGCACAGCTGACTCAGTCCAAATTACGACAAAGGGCTACTACTTACGGGCTTGAAGCAAAGCATATTGGAGATTAAGTCCACAGCTGCACTAGATACATCAGGAGAAAGTGAGTAGAAGAAAGCGAGGTTAGGGCGTCGTGGTCTGAAGGAAAGGACAAAACAGCATGCTTCGGGATGACAGTTCTCTAAATCTTCCATATTTGGAGTTCCTGTCAAGTTCACTATCAACTCTAACTGTTCTAGTGGACCTTGGGCCTATTGAAAATGAGAGAGAAAACATTTTTAAGATAGGCTCCATGCAATCAACAAAATATATTACAGAAAAAGATATCTTACCGGGAATAGAATTCTACGACTTAGAAGCTCGGCAAAGGTACATCCAACACTCCACATATCAACAGCATATGAATACCGCGAGGTCTCCATTAAAAGTTCTGGTGATCGGTAATACTGTGTAACAACTTCGGTAGTAAGTTGCGCTTGATTCTTTGGATCATCCATACGAGCCAAACCGAAATCACAGATCTAGAAGTTGAGGTAACATAATCGATTAGACATGATTTAGATGAGTTAAAACATAATATATCAAGAAGGAATAGAGCATACTTTAAGAAGGCAGTTGGAATTGACCAACATATTTCCGGGCTTGATATCACGATGAACAATTCCAGCAGAATGGAGATACCTAAGACCACGTAGGATTTGATAGAGGAAAATTTTAACATGGTCCGTTGAAAGAGGTTGGGGTGAAACAATGATCTTGTGAAGATCAGTCTGCATCAACTCAAAGATGAGATATACCTCATCGAAATTTGAGTAGTTATCTGACTTTACTACGTCAACCAAGGTGACAATCTAAATAAGAGGAAGACAGATTATCAAAATTAACTCCTGAAGAAAGGGGGAAAGCGAAGTCAAGACTCTGGAAACGTACATTATCGTGATGGAGCATGGAAAGCATCTTAACTTCCCTGTAGACGCGCTTTGCGGTAATTGGATTATGGAAGACTCGAGGAATTCGTTTCAAGGCCACTTTGCGTCCATCTCGTGGGTCTATAACTGACCTAAACAGAAAAATTTAGCCGTAAGAACAATGAAAAAAATCAGAGTGCAATGTTCGTTTTAGTGAAGGTGTAAATTACAGATTTTGAGGTGTGCTCAGTTCTAGGTCGAGTGCATGTTTACTGCCATGGTTACGAGCGAAACTATATCGTCAACACAAAGAAACCGAGGTAGGATATCAGTAACTGAACTAAAAGGAATTTCAAGGGCGATTGGCTCGTGTATTTAATCGTGAGCTATGCAAATAAAATTAGAACATCGGGTAAAGGTCGCATATACTACACTCCTTCTCAAACAAGAAGACATGTTTAGGGTCACTACATACACAACCTTATCAGGTCAAAAATCCAAAACTTTCATAAAACGACAGTGAAATTTCTCATCCTAATAATCCGTTTTCATTAAGCACATCAATGGAATAAAAAATGAGTCCAAAAAATCAATAAGAAAGTGGAGACATACCACACAACTCCAAAAGCGCCATATCCAAGTCCTTTTTCCAGGGCATTCTGGGAACTATCTCCTGGATTTCTAGGTGGTAGAAGGAAGGGTTTGTAGTGCCCAACTCCGCCGACTTCATTTGGTTGGACGTAGATAGCAAGAAGGGCTTCTTCCCGATGCATAATTCCTGGATTTGCGAGGCCAGGGGTTTGCAACATTCCACTGTTAGAAGAACGATCAAATGTGCTTGTATTGCTGCTGCTGCTTCCACTGGTGAGATTGTGCGCAGAGGCTTTACTTAATGTTGATCCACCGCTTCCAATTTGACCTGAATAGCTTTGAATGACATTGCGGAAAGGTCGATGAGCGACTTGTCGATGATTGACTACTGTAGTAGACATTGTTATAGAAACTAAACTAAAACGGCTGCTGCTTTATTAATCCTCACAATAGAGAAATGTGCGTGTAGGTGCGTATATGTGTGCGTGACTATCCTCGTCCTATTTCTACAATGTCGATGGAATGCAGAAAATGGCGAGATGTGTTAATTATGCCTACTCAAGAGAAGGACCCGACCTTATATAGCAGCAGCCGCAGAATAGTGACACGGTGTTAGCTATCGTATGTACACGCGTTAGTGCGTGGGTATCCACCGGTGCTTGTACGTGCGCACTTGTGCTAAGCGAATACGTCAGCACGATGCCGGTTGGAGATACAACCGCACGCGTGCAATACCTGTTATTCTCTCTTCCATTTTCATCAAGGCAAATACACCACATACAGTATGTTGCGCGCACTTGCGCGTTGCCTTACATTCGCACGAATGTTAGAAATCGATAGATAGACAGACCAAATGTGACGCGTGTTGTGTGGCGCGCAAGTAGCCGGCCGTGCTTCATGGTCGTTTCTACGTGCGAAGCGATGACGCAGATTTCGCACGCGTATGTCCTTCAATGAATAACCTCAATACAACCCAATTCTGGAAATACAACTGAATTAAGTTTTGATGGTGTTAGTTTTTCGCATCTCTTCTTCAAAGCAGTTGCTTTCATTACGCTTTATTTATATGGCACCCAGGTTTCTGCCTTTGTCTAAAATTAATTTAATTGGTTTATTTATTTTAAAACTGCTTAAATTTGGCTTAAACGCGATAAGTAGGAGTTTGTTACCAAATGCGATGGTAACTAACTTAATCAGGTCAATAATTATAACTTCGTGCCATATTAATAAATAGCAAATGCTTAAAATGACTAATCACAGAATTTGTTTTCCGTCTGCAGAAAAATTCGTAATATATCAACCTGGACATTCTATTCGAAATAATTCAGTAATGCACTTTTATTTGGTATATTTAAAATTCGTCCAATAATAATTATCCCAGGTGAAGTCACCGAAGACCAATTTCAGCAGCCATTTTTTATATGAATCAATCTAGAGTTGACGTGTAATGAATCACCGGATAGTTTAAGTACTTTGACCCAGATAACGTCGAAGGCCAAGTGCCAATGAAAACATTGACTAACTCACAGGTGTTCAATTAATTCTAATTAGGAGGAAGCAGTTAGCAAATACGATTGACTTCGATTTCATAAAATCGAGGTTGAAAGTGAAAAACTCCTAAACTAGTTTGCGTTAATGACTAAAGCCAACTAAATTATTAAAATAAAATATATTTAAGAGAAAGCAATAGCTGTAGAGGGAAAAGGGAACTCACTTTGTTTAGCTGAGGGCTGCAGTAGAATACGTCTCGTCTAGTCAAAAGTCAGCACTTTTATAGGTGGGGCTTTTGATGTAAGCCGAATTACGCACACAAAAGACGTCAAATATGTCTACCCCAGTGCTTTTAGAAGCAGCCAAAGTGCTAGGTCGTACAAGCAGCTGGAAGTTAGAGAAACAGACCTACTTTGTGTTCTGTCCCCCCCTTCCCCCTCCCCCCATCCCCACAGTCAGCCCTCCTTTGGTCAGTGCCATGATTGATGACTAATACCCCCTCCTCCGGCTTGTAGAGAACAGAAGTTGGACAACCGTGGAAGTTGTACTTTACAAAAATGGGGTAAGTGCATAGAATACCGCTATAAAATTATAAAAGGCTACTTTGGTCTTTTGTAAAGTAAATAATTATTTCTCATAAAACTGGGTAATAGAGATGTAGATTAATTTCATTAATAGAGACAAGTTGCGTTAATCTTGTTAAACCTGGAGATTCGACATGAAATTCCTATCGAAAAGGAGTGCTAAATAATACACTTAATTTGCACACAATTTCTTTCACAAACTTACAAACAAATACAAGTATTTAGAGATAAAGCATTGCTCCAAAGACTGAGGAGTTATTCAACAAGTAAATGACAAAAATTAACTGAAAGAATTTATAGAGGACTCAGAATTTACATAATGTACTCTAAACTTATTTTCTCTTTTGTCATTGTATTTCATTTAAAATAAACCTCGTTGTCGTTTAAAATCGACCTGTAAGTTCATTTCCATTTTAAGAGTGCAAGCTTTTATGCGTTAATAAAAAATATTGATTTTTGATTTGCTTTCTTTATAAGCACCACCTGTGTATACAGAACGCTTGCATAATCACCACTTTGAAAACAATCAATAACATACTAAAGGAGGTGTATGATTTGAAGTAATCGATGAAGAATCGGTGCATAACCTTAGGCACGTGGGTTACACTTTACCAACTCGGTTATTTCCTGAATAGGGGAGGGGGAGGGACGATTTTCTTGGTTTCAGTGCCCGTTAATTGAGAAAAGGTGCTTAAATAACTATTACATTATTAATATTTACTTAATCACCGAGACTAGCGTTAGTTAGTCAGCTCAAATTGCTACAATTTCATAGGGAGTGACCGTTATTGTTTGATGTGATATAGCACGAGAGAGTTAATTATGTGTTTATCGCTTAACTTACAAACATGGTAAGACAAATCAACATTTTCAGACACTCCATAAGACGTGCCAAGACAAACAAATTTCTGTGCTGATTATCTGACTATCCTCTAGTTCGTTTGTGGAAGAACGTGTTTCTAAATAATACACAATGGATCTTTATTTATCTAAACAGTTATATCTGTTTACTGAGTTGACTACCAACGAAGTTACCAGTAGATGATAACTTCGTTTTTTTTAGAAACATCTGTTACTTCTGTTGACTGAAATAAATGTCTTAGAGACGTAAGAGAGTCAGAGTAAAATTACATGATATTTTCGACGTCGGATGAGAATGACGTGCACAATTCTGTCGTAAAATAAGTAATCGTAACAGTATAACGACAAAAGAGTCTAGGCAAACGTAATCGGGGTAAACCTATCCATAAGAGATTGGGAAATCCAAATTAAGTTAGTTAAAATATAATATGAATTTGGCTTCTAATATTTTTATTTCAGATCCAATATAAGGAATACGTATATTTCTTTAACCTTTTCGAGTTTACCATGACCACTAAGCGACTCAATAATTTCGCTTTAATCAATAATGGAACGAACGACACTGACAACTAACTTCCTTATTCAAGTAATTAAATGCGCAATTATATAAGTCTCAATAAAGTTATGGCATATTTAATGCTATGTAGTAAACTCTATTCTGCCCGCATATTGAACAACAGTCCTGTTCATACACGTATTACCTGGACAGTTAGTGCATGTTAGAGATACTACCAGAATCACATGAGGGGTCTCGTGATAGCCTTTTCTAACATGAGAATTCTTGCGGCCCCCACAACTGTCTCCAGTAAAATAACTGAACTTCTGTTCAGGCTCTAGCAACAATGACAATTATGCTACAAGACACTTCCTTTATAAGGACCATTTTTGAATAGAACAATAGCTGTCATCAATATGACAATTGTTTTCTTAATTATCTATCTAATTATAATCTGGAAATCCTACCAATTTGTTTAAACTGTCACGAAAGGAAAACTAATATTACGATTAAGGTAAATTAATTGAACAATTAATTATAACTTTAAAATTAGTATTTAATGAAATAAATTTTATCATAAATTACCTTATTAAAAATAACTGCATGACATGAATTAAGTGCATGTTAAACGTTTCAGGCGTTTAGTGAAATTCAGATACAGTATGAGTGTAAAATACAAGCCTTTCAATTTTTCATTCATTGCAGATAAAGGAAAGGAAATGGGAAGATTTCGTTTTAATGAAAGTAAAGATTTCATAGCCCTTCCTCCACCTCACCTTTTCAAACTCATAATGCTCTAAGAACACATTTCAGTTGACTTATTTGCAAGACATTTGGAAGTGATCGTATTGACCTCCTATGAAGGAGGGTTTCAAGTCACCTGTAGTTTCACCTGATCTTCTATAAATGCCTCAAGCCGAAAGTTTACTCCTTGTGATGAAGAAAGAAGTGAGTGGGTGTCTCGCTATGTCTCCCTCTACGCTTAAAATTTTCCTTTCTAATAGCAGAAACTTAAATATTTATTGGGTTGGCAACTAAGTCATTGCCGTTTTTGTTGACAGATTCACCCTATACTTTCTTTTGTTTTGTTAGCGTGGCCAGAGCATCTAACCTATATTTTTTTCTTACTCTATGGGCTTCTAGGTTAATTAGTAAAAAATTTTTTATGTTTAGTTCTTTAGTTTTGTTTTTATCCCAATTTAAAAATGAAAGAACAGGACGTGCACTTCCGACACATTTTATTGTATTACTTCCGAAAAGGCAAGAACGCATCGCAAGCACAAAAGAAGTTATGTGCCGTATATGAAGATGAAGCCTTCAAAGAAAGGCAGTGTCGAAATTGGTTTGAAAGATTTCGTTCCGGTGATTTTTCACTGAAAAATTCACAACGATCTGGCCGCCCAGTCGAAGTGGATGAAACCCATATCAAGGCCATTATCGATTCAAATCGTCACAGCACAACACGAGATATTGCAGAGAAGCTCAATGTGTCGCATACGTGCATTGAAAAAAAATGAAAAACCCTTGGTTATGTCAAGAAACTTGATTTATGGATCCCTCACCAGTTAAAGGAAATTCATTTGACGCAACGGATTAGCATCTGTGATTCGCCGCTACTGAAACGCAATGAGAATGAGAATGATCCATTTCCGAGGAAGAACCTAGTTACTGGCGACGAAAAGTGGATAGTTTATAACAATGTTACTCGCAAGAGATCATGGGTGAAGCAAGATCAACCAGCCCAAACAGTATCAAAAGCAGCAGAGATTCACCAAAAAAGATTATGCTGTCAGTGTGGTGGGATCACAAAGGAATTTTGTATTTTGAACTCATGCCGCAGAACCAAACGATAAATTCAAATGTGTATGTTGAAGAACTGGAAAAACTGAAGGATGCAATTGAAGATAAGTGGCCGGCATTATCAAATCGGAAGGGTGTTGTTTTCCATCATGATAACGCAAGGCCCCCG